TGCTACTACAACAACAACTACAACAACAACTACTACTACTACTACAACTACTACTACTACTTACTACTACTACTACTACTGCTACTACTACTACTACTGCTACTACTACTACTGCTACTACTACTACTACTACTACTACTACTACTACTACTACTGCTACTACTACTACTACTACTACTACTACTACTACTACTACTACTACTACTGCTACTACTACAACAACAACAACAACAACAACAACAACAACAACAACAACAACAACAACAACAACAACAACAACAACAACAACAACAACAACAACAACAACAACAACAACAACAACAACAACAACTACTACTACTACTACTACTACTACTACTACTACTACTACTACTACTACTACTACTACTACTACTACTACTACTACTACTACTATAACTACTACCGCTGCTGGTGTTGCTGCTACTACTACTACTGCTAGTGCTACTACTATAGTGCTACAACAACAACAACAACAACTACTACATCTACTAGTGCTACTACAACAACTACTACTACTACTACTACAACTACTACAACTACTACAATTACTATTACTACTGCTACTACTACTACTACTACTACTACTACTACTACTACTACTACTACTACTACTACTACTACTGCTGCTGCTACTACTATAGTGCTACTACAACTACAACAACTACAACAACAACTACTACTGCTACTACTGCTAGTGCTACTACTATAGTGCTACAACAACTACAACAACAACAACAACTACTACTACTACTACTACAACTACTACAATTACTATTACTACTGCTACTACTACTACTACTACAATTACTATTACTACTACTACTACTACTACTACTACTACTACTACTACTACTACTACTACTACTACTACTACTACTACTACTACTACTACTACTATAGTGCTACAACTACAACAACAACAACAACTACTACTACTACTACTAATACTACTGCTACTGCTACTGTTACTGCTACTACTGCTACTACTACTTGTAGTGCTACTGCTACTACTTCTAGTGTTGTAGTCAAAACCTCACTAACTGAGACCAAAGGGTCCCGAGACCAAGACAAAACTGAGACTTTTAAAGGTCAAAACTGAGACAAGACCGAGACCACGGCCCATCAAGACCAAATCAAGACCATTTTTGTGATTTTCTATATTTATTTGTATTTTACATTTATTTTGAGACAAATATGTCACTGTTTTTATAAATCTATCCCGATTTTATCAGTCAAAGGTCTCGCAGCATCACAGCAGCCTCCAGGGGGCGCCAGGTGAACACAACAGGAAAGGTCTCACTCCACTCTGGTGTTTCATTTGTTGATGAAATGGGCCATTCCCTCAAAATTCCCTCCTGACAATTTGCTGCCATATATGTTGTAAAAAGTCTGTAGAATCTCAAATGTCCTTCGTTAGCTCCTTAGCACTTTCATGGTCTCCATATATATGGGAAAAAACAGCTCATTTCACACAGTCCAACAGTCCCTTACTTGTGTCTTTTGAACTGCACATGTGGCTCTTCTTAGTTGGTTCAAATCCCATGATTTGATGTTAAACACTCTGAGCTAAAAAAAAAAACCCCAAAAGGTTACTAAAACTGCTCAGTGTGTGAGGCAGACAGTCACAAGAGCAACCAACCTACTACAACTCCTCCAACTCTATAACTATAATTAATACTGTGACTCCTTTTATTACAACTAGGCACTACTATTATTATTATTATTATTATTATTATTATTATTAGCACCAGGTACTTGTGTTTTTATTTGAAGTCACCTTCAGTTGTCGTCAGTCTCTTATCAGGGTCATCGAATCAGTTTTTTCCTGATTAAACCCTTGAATCATTTATCTGAAGCACTTTACACAAATATTAAGCTCTCTCCTGATCTCAGCGAGTCTCTCCAATCAAACGTCTCCTTGTGACCTCAGCGGGCTCGGATTAGACTTTTATATAAATCATCTTAAAGGCACTCAATCAGATTTTTTCCTCACCTTGTCTTGCTCCAGTGCAGGTCATTATTATTATAATATTAATCATAATAATAATTATTATTAGATCTGACTCATAACTTGGACTGGCGCCATTACCCATGTGTTTCCATGGAGACAGATATGTTTAATGCCAGTCTGTGGAACATGCAACCAAAATGATATCATCTCTATGGAGACAAGGATGTAAAAAAAATAAACCTTTAAATTCTAAGAAAATAAACCTTGCGTGGTCCTGATCCCAGATGTTTACGGTTATTTTACAGGCTTGATTGAAATGTTTCACTCAGTTCAAGTCATTTTTAAATCTTGTCGATAGTCATTGCACAAGTTACATTGAAAATCCATACAATGGCGCCATCTAGTGGTGAATATGCATACTGGACCAATACTTACTGAAAGCAGCTCAGTCAGAAAATGACCCAAAGGTGCAATTCCAGCTCCCACAGAGGAATACTCATTATGTCCTTGGGCAAGACACTTAAGCCACATTTACACAGAGCCGGGTATGTTGAGAAACAAATATTTCCCTTCCTCCGTTTTCCAAAATAACACAGCACACAGCATTGTTTTCAAAAAAGTTTTTGTTTACATCAGCCCACATAAATCCTCCATCGAGTGCCGTCATAACTACACCAAGTCTCTGGGCGGCATCTGGATTAGATTCACACCTGTAGCATTTATTTCATTACAGAGTCTAAGTATTACTCACAAATACCTTGAAAAACATGCATCACTGAGCAGGCTTGCCTCTCCACAGATCTGTTAAAGAAGTGGCAAAATCCCTGACCTCTGAGCCTCATTCGTCTCTGGTCATAAATATGAAATATCAGCTGTGTGCAAATGCAAACACATGAACAGTGTTTCAGCAGAAGAAATGCGACTGCTGCTCTGAAAGCTCCATGATCATCGTCAGAGCAAAAGGTAAACACTGGGCACCGTAAAACTCCATTCATCTCACTTTACACACAAACACCAAACTGGCTAGAGTGGAGATCCTGGAAATCTACAGAGTTTTTAGAAGGATGCGTTTTCAGAGGTAAAAGATGGATACAAATGAAGGGAAATGTCTCAGTTTTTAAAAATACCCGTGTACGTGTAAACGGAGCCTTAACCCTCCTCGCCCCCTTCAGATCAGAGAGACATTTTAGGTAGAAGGCTGTACCAAGTGGTGAAGTTTCATGAGTGCATCACATGTGCATATTAAGCATTGAATTTATATATTTGTTTGATTATTATACATTATATTGATGTTTAATCACTGAAATCTTATGTATGTTTAAAGGTACCACTATGTGAAACATGTATGTTTTTAAGGTAATCTTTGTGCAGGGATGTGTCCTTTTAAGGAAATTCATTGCAGAGTGGCAGCAGTGGAGATGGTTCGGCCTGGTACGAAATCAAACAAACTGGTGATTTACATTTGGCTGCTGTCAACCCCCCTGAACCTAAAGGAATGCAGAGAAACTCCAAGGAAGATTCAAAGCATTACCTGTTCAGCATATTATTTGCATATTCATATGGATGTCTATAAAATCCGGGTTGAGATATTCAGAAGTGTCCAGATTTGCCTGATTTAAGACGTGTGTAGCCGTAGGCCGTCAGGGTAGTGATCTGACCCAGAGCTCTGTATTAGAATTGTATTGTTTAGGGAATAAATTCTTTTTGCTTTTAATTGATCGATTCCAGTTGATATTTTTGGGAGAAAATGCCTAACAAGGTTTAAACACAATGGATTTCAGCTTTGAACCTGGCAACCCAAATGAGTCATGTGACACTCATTCTGCTTTCTGACAAAACAGAATGGCTTTCTGGACAACAGACCTGAGAATCAAAACACAAAATTATAACACAATTTGTCCATCATGTCTAATGTTTCTGTGATTAAGAATAAATCCACATTAGAATTGTGATCAGTAAAAGCTACAGTGAGACCCGGTCCTTTCCTTCGTGTCCTTTATAGTGGACATTGGGTTATAAAGTCCATCTTTTAAGAGTTTTGAGATCGACTCTTAATGTCCATTACAGAGGACATGTTACAAGATTATAAATAAAAAATACAACAAACAAAATCTAAATTCTGAAGTGTTCATTTAACTCCATGTAATGTAGCCAGTCCATTACTTGGGCCTAGGGCTAATTAAAAGGTAAAATAATGAGGAACTGAAACAAAGTTTTAGAAATGTTTATTGAAATTGATTATGTGCAGATTGAAGTTACCTGTAAAAGTAAAAAAGTAAAAGTGCATTTAAATAGAAGTAATTGTGTTAAAGTAATTATACTTACCCTCTGGTGTGGTCTGCCTCAGGTGCTCCGGCCAAAAGAGTCCCCGGGGAGCTGGAGCACCTTAAGAAGGTTCCGGGGCAGTCAACCATGTTGTTTGGAGGAGGGGAGCACACATTTTTAACTTGTTCTATTTAGTATTTTAAAACATTAAACACTGCTAATTTAAATAAAGAGATATATATTTTTGTAATTAATGTAACTGGATATTGTTTGGGCATTGTTTTGATAGTTAGCTTTTAGATATTAAATGTACAAGTTATTGGACCTTACCTGATCGTTGAAGTGGGCTCACCCAATTAGGACAGGGCCTTTTAAAAGAAGCTAGCCTCACCTTGTTCAAGGAGAGGTGCTGTGTGAGCGCAGGTAACTGCTATGCCTGTTTTTAACCTTTTTGGAACTTTTGTAAATACTTTTCTATTTTTGTCTTTAATAAATGCACTGGGATCTGCACTGTAAACTGGCTCAACTTGACTCTGTTCCTTCTAAAACCACTAAGGTTGCCACCAGGCTGTTACACTCCAAATAGATAGAAAATCACAAAAACATATTGCAATACACTTTTTTGTGTGTGTCCCAGGAGGATATTTGATTTGAGGGGACACAATTGGTCGTGTTTATGAAATTAAAAATAGAAAATGTTACGTACAGTTCTTTTAAACCACCAGAAATGTGTAAGAAAAACTGAGAAGAAAACCCGGAAGCGTGAGGTTTGTAAGCCGTTTTAATCTTGAATTCAGTCAAAAATGTACAAAAGGAATGCAAAAAGTCAGAGGCGCATCTGTGTGGGAACAAGCCTGCTTTTCTCCAGATATAAACGAAAAGAAGAGGAAGGAGAGACTAAATACAAGATCATGTGGCTTTAGACAGAAACAGAAAGAGAAGGAGAGAAGGGGTAAGAAAGAGATTGAGAGAGAGAGAAGGGGAGGGGGTGGAGAAAGAGGAGAGAGGAGAAGAAAGAAACAAAAGGAAAATGGAGAGAGAGATGATGAGGAGGAGGAGGGGAGAAGTGAGAGGAGGAGAGAGAGAGATGAGGAGGAGGAGAGAGGAGGAGGAGGATGAAGGAGGAGGAGAAGGAGGAGAAAGGAGGAGGAGGAGAGAAGGCATGAGGAGGAGGAGGAGAAAGGAGGAGAGAAGGGATGAGGAGGAGGAGGAGAGAGAAATGAGGAGGAGAAGGAGGAGGAGAAAGGAGGAGGAGAGAGATAATGATGAAAAGGAAGAGGAGGAGGAGAAGGAGAGAGGGGGATGATGAGAAAAGGAAGAGTGGACAGAAGAATGAAGAGAGAGAGGAGGAGAGAGAAAAAACAAGAGGGGGAGAGAGAAAAAAGAGAAAGGCGAGAGAGGAGGAAGAGGAGAAGAGAGGGGAGGGAAAAAGAGAGAAAGAAGGAGGAGGAAGAAGAGAGAGGGTGGATGAGAGAAGGGAGAGAGAACAGAGGAATGAAGCGAGAAAGAAAGGAAGGAGTGAGGAGAAATGGGGATGTGACGAGTGAAAAACTGATTTAAAAAATGGGATGGGAGAGGAAGAGGATGAGTAAGAGAGCAAAAGAGAGGAGAGTTTGAGACCGAAAAGAGAAGACAAAGAGAGAAGGAAGAGAGAGAAAGAGTAGATAGAGGTGGAGAAGAGTGGGCATGGCAGAGTTAATGTAATAATGTGGTTATTTCAAAGCACTAAGACTAGCATCGCGTTAGCACGAAGCCAACGCCGGCGTCATTGAATCTAAAGCAGCTGCGCGCTACGTAAAAACAGACCAGAAACATTTACAAAAAGACACAAATCCAAGCGGACGAGCGGTTCCACCAAGAAATCAAATATGGCACAAAAAAAAACTCTCTTCAAAATGTGTATGGCAACGATAATGATATTTAAAGAGCCCATGTTACGCCGTTTTCTGATCCGTTATAACGTTATTTCCTCGCCAAAAACCCGACCTGGAGTTGTGTTTTGCTTCATTTACACGTGTTTAATTCTTCTCTTAACTCACTGGAAAAAAACAATATCTAATTAAGTTAAAATGACTTAAATTAAGAACATTTTACTATATTTGAATCGATTCAATTTGACAAGTAAAATTATCTAAGTGTGTTTTTCTTAATTCAAGCAACATTCGGTTTTGTTTCTTATTTTAAGTGTAGCAAGATGTATTTTCATATTTTAAGTACAAAAAGTCTTGTTCCACTGGCAGATGATTTTACTTGTCAAGTCAAATTTACTCAAAACACAAAAACATAAATGCTAAAATAAGGCCAGGGAGAGGTGTACGCTTCTATTTTAGAGCCATTTATACACATAATCAGTAGAAAAAAGTGATTTTGGTGTTTAGTGACGCTTTGATTAATACACAAACCCTGTATATTTAGGTTCTTACAGGTACTGTATTTTTCAGACTATAAGTTGCACTTTTTTTCATGGTTTAGGTGGTCAATTTCGTTTCTCTCCAGTGACTAGGTCAGGAATCAGAATACACTAGACGATTCGCAAAAACCCCGGAAGTGCAAGTTCAGGCATCAGCCAATAAGTGAAGAGCCATTTATTCAGTGTTGTCAACGATTCCTGAGATCGAGGCTTTAAAGTCAGAACAAAGAGAATGTTTGGTGAATTTTATCGAGGGGAAAGACGTTATTGTCCTTCTTCCTATCGGGATTTGGGAAAAGCTTAATATACCAGTTATCCCCGTTAGCGGCGCATTACATACAACATGACCAAATAATAGTGATTGGTTAAATGAAAAAAGTACTCGTCTACTGTCAAGTGAACGAAATCTAATGCTGCAAGGTCAGATGGTTTCCACAAAGTGAAAGCGGCTGATGAATCAGACGAGGTCCTGCGACTAATATAATAAAATTTTCTGTCACTGTCACTTGACTCTACTGCGCATGTCTCAAAGAGCCACTGTCCTGTCTGTTTCATGTCAGTCGATCGCAACATTACTTCTGTACTACTGAAAATTTCAAATTTAAACAAACAATGACAACAAAACCATCCTGTCGGGATTCAGAAAGGCTGGAATAATTCTAACTGGAACTGATGCTGAGTCTGACGACAGCGACACAGAAGAGGAAGCGGCGCTCAGTTCACCTCCGGAGGTCATGGAGTTGTTCAGAAGTGACACAGAGAATGAAGAATTCAATGGATTTAATGATTTGGAGTGAGATGGAGAGTTTGGTAAACTTGTTCTGTTCTGTTGTTTATGTTATAATTATCTGAAGAACTGTTCATATGTGACGTTAACAGTCTGTTGTTCTCTGTTCTGTTGTTTTTACTAGAACTTGACTTTCAAGATGAAATGTCGGTTCCTGATTTCTGATTTTATAAAATAAATTTCACCCAAAAAGTGCAACTTATATGTTTTTTGTCTTCTTCATTACGCATTTTTTGGCTGGTGCGACTTGTAATCCAAAAAAATACAGTAATACAGGAAGTGCTCCACTGTGTTTTTAAACTACACACACCTTCACTAGAATCATTTGAAGATTTCAGCCCTGGAATTGCCAATTTCTACTGAACAAATGGTAAAAGGAGCTGTTAACTTGACTCAACTTCAAAATGATGTCCCTGCCCCCCCCCAAAAAAAATTATAGTTTTGATTTAATTTGAAAATGAACCTCTTTGACAAACTTTGGACTAAATGGGACTTATACGCTGGACATAATGCGCCGTAACCTTATTTAAATTTACTATAATAGGATACAATTTGTCTAATGTGTTCTGTCTCTATGTCCCGTTCAGTGTTTATGTATTAACTTTTTATCTTTTCCGAAGCTTTTCCGAGCTTTGCAGATGTAGACAGACAAATACTGCAACTAAAACATACGTGGATGAAACAAAACACAACTCCAGGTCTGTTTTTGAGTCGGTAATAACATGGCTTAAAGTTCACGAGAGTCAGTTTTGCGTAATTTAGGACCTTTAAAATAAAAACTTTAAAATATGTGTGTTTTTTAATAGACTTAAATGAGAATTGAATACAGTTTTTTTTGCTTTGTTGCCAGTCCCAGACCCTGATAAATGCAGTGGATTGTGTCAGGAAGGGCATCAAGCATGAAAAAAATTAAATAACGACAATTCCCTTTGGTGGCTCCATATGAGACAACAAAAGGATTATTGCATTGGTCTAAAGCAGCGGTTCTCAAACTTGGGGTGTTATGAGAAATTAAAAATAACTCTTGGATGTGTACTTGATAAAATATACTTCTACACGGTTGTACTTTAAGTATTTCCGTCTTATTGCAGTTTTTAATTCAGGTTTTTTAAGGATTAAGCACGAGTTGAAGACGCCCCTCTACTATTTTTCTTGCACAGATAAATTGTTAAGCATGTCAAAATAAGTCTTAATCTCATTTTTCACCATTTTACTGTCTGAAGTGCACTGTTAGCATGCTAGTTGGAGCACTGCAAACCATTTAAAACAAACTACTTCTGTTATTTGCGTTTTAAAACTGTAAAAAAAATCAGGTACAGCGGCTTAAAATGCACTTAAATTTTGAACACGTCTTATTTTGAAGGTGTAATTCGATGCACAAAAATGTAGCTTGGTATTACTAAAAAATAAAAGCACACATGTTTGGTACGGTCAAAAACACATTATAATTTCAAGTTCTCTTCTAGTCGACTATTGCTTTAATTTTGAAGCTACATGTTCTGCGAAAACGATTGAAAACGGCGCCATATTTAATCTCTAAGTGAAACCGGAGCTGAACACTTTCAAAATAAAACAAGAAACAATAAATAAGATCGGAACCCAAAGTAAGCCGTCCAAAGTCTTCAACGCAAGGCTTTTATTCTGAAGGCTACAGGTTCACTTCCTCTAAAAGATTATACACAAGTAGTTCTGATGCAAGACTCATTATTAATATTATTATAATTATTACTTTTTTTGTTTCTTTTGTTTTTTAAAAAATTATCTGGTGAAGCGCACTTCCTCTTCCTGGTTGGCTCTGATTGGCTGTTAGTCGTCTTCATCGTCCACCACCGGATCTGTGTCCCAACACGTGATGTCAATCTCTGCACGCAGACAAAAAAATATTATTACTACGATTAGTACAACTGCTACTACAACTACTACTGCTGCTGCTAATACTAAATAATACTACCACTACTTCTACTACTGATGCAACGATTACAGTGTTGTTTATTTTAATACTGTACATTTTTCTTGTTCCACAGCTACGTATACTGCAGTGTTTCCCACACAGACCAATCTGTGACGCTGTGCCACAGAATGAAAACCGAGCGCCACAAATAGATTCTGACGCTTTTTTTCAACGTGAGTCTGTCATTCTCACAAGCTCAGAGACAGAGAGGCAGAGAGAGAGACAGAGAGAGAGGCAGAGACAGACAGAGAGAGAGAGACAGAGAGAGAGAGAGGCAGAGAGAGAGACAGAGAGAGAGACAGAGAGAGAGACAGAGAGAGGCAGAGAGAGAGACAGAGAGAGAGACAGAGAGAGAGAGAGAGAGAGAGAGACAGAGAGAGAGAGACAGAGAGAGAGAGAGACAGAGAGAGAGAGAGACAGAGAGAGAGACAGAGAGAGAGACAGAGAGAGAGAGACAGAGAGAGAGAGAGAGAGAGAGACAGAGAGAGAGAGCAGAGAGAGACAGAGAGAGAGAGAGAGAGAGAGAGACAGAGAGAGAGACAGAGAGAGAGGCAGAGACAGAGAGGCAGAGAGAGAGAGATCAACAGCGGCGCATACATGTCAGGGGGGTTACACTTATAAAACACTTGCACTATTTGCTCGCTGGAATTGACTCTCTGCCCACGGTGCAGCAGTGGGATGGAAAATGTTCCTCCTGCGCCTTTGGGGACAGGACCCCAAGGCCCTGAGACACTGTGCTTAGCCCCGTGGGGCGTGGAGCTCTGTGCCTGTCTCTTTGCACCAGACATCACCCGACGGTCAACATGGGTGTAGAACTGTAATGAAGCTTGGTGAGGTCCGAGGGCAGCCTGGCCCGGGTATCCCTGTACACAATAAATGGGCCAGAGCCCAAGGAGGTCCCTTATGATGGGGCACTTGAGTTTTTTTTAGAAAGCTTTGTAAAATGAGATGTTCTGATAGGACATGCATGTACAACAAACAGGCTAATGCTGTTACATTTCATTTAGTTAGTAACTTTAGTAGTTTCTTACGTCTATTATAGTATTTAATTTATTTAATTTGTATTATTATATAGTTGTTAGATTATACTAGTTATATTGGTTTACCAAAAAAAAAAAAAAGTGTAATACAAGAACAAGTTAATATTGGTTGAGCGGGTTTGAGTTAAGTATTTGAAATTTTTTTTGTTTTTTTTTTCACAAGGATATCTCTCTGTATTTGTACAGATCCATATCAGCTGCTGGTACAGCGATGATTCTGGATTTAATTCATTCCTGGAATGTCAAAGAAGCTAAAGTTCAGGTAAAAGCTAAAATTTAACACCAGTTTTGGTAAGAAATTCTTAACAATAAAATACAGGTCTTCCTCTGACATTTGTATGAGCAAATCGTACAGGTGCCTCTTAAAGTCCGAGGGTGGAGGGGCATCGCCGTCCGATCAGGGAGAGGGCTCACACAATACTACTTGGACAGTGGGAAACACTGCACTGTGAGTACTACTGCGTACCTGCTATTACAACTACTATAGAGGGTGTCACCGCTAATAATTCACATAAATCTCAGTAGACAAAAAAACTTAACTATTGCTACCACTACTGCTACTACTATAGCCAGTATAAATACTTGTGTACATAGAAGTGCTGCGTGTTCCTTCAGACTGACCTGGAGGCTTGTTATAAAAGATGGGCGTGGCTTTAGCAGAGGACTCGTCTGTTTGGCCAAACTCCTCTTCCTGTGATTGGCTGAAATATCCTTCGCTGGCCTGAAGGACAGAAGAGGATCAACACCCCCAACGTGACGCCACCGCAGAGTATCGACAGAATGTGATTTTACCTGAGTTCCCTCCTTTAGCAGCGAGTCCCCATTCCCATTGGTCATGAGCAACTGTCCGTCATCCAGCTCCGGCTCCTGATTGGCCGCGTGCTGCAGTGCATGCTGGTAGCTCAGGGTCATGGGCGGGTCTTCCTGTTCGTTCACGGAGCAGAACGTCCCATCCATGACGTCGTCGAAGCTGAGCAGGGGCTGAGGTCTGGCCCCTGCGGCCTCGGAGGTAGCACTGCAGTCGCCCGTCAGCTCCACCAGGGGGGGGCAGTGAGACTGAGCGGCCTGGTGGGACTGGGCCTGGTCCTGCTTGGTGTCCCAGAGCTCCACCAGGCTGTCCGTTCCACTGTCCCACACGGAGAAGGAGTTCTGGGGCTGAGGGGCCACGCTCTGCACGGGTTTGGACGGAGGGGCGGAGTCTTGCACAGGGGGCGTGGACTCGTGTTTGGGGAATGGATCTGAGAAGCAACAACACAGTCAGGATTATAACAAAAAATACACATATAAAAGCCTCACTGTGGAACATTCTAGGTTATTTGCGCCTACTTTTTAGAGAAACTATTAGGGTGCAAGGTGTTATCGCAATCGCAGGGCCAGAACCGTGTATTCCGCTGTCCAAATTTGGCCCACGAGCCGCCTTTTGAACCTCAATGCTCTCTGGAAAATTATTTGTTATCCAAAAAACGATATTCACCGAAAACCAAAAAGTATTAACATGTTTTACGTGTTTCACTTTTTTTTTGATGCTCTGACCCCTCTCCCTGCCCTTTGCTCCCCACCTTAAGTCACTCCCCCTTCAGAGCGCCATCACAACACAATCAGAGTCCATCGTGCTAATGAACCCACAGTGCATCGCATCACGTTTGTGAAGTTGTAGTGTACAGTTTTGTATTATGTTTTTGTGTATTTATTTAGGAGAATTGTCGTGTGGGAGCTTGTGGGTGGAGCCTTGTACAGAATCTTACAGATAAATGTAAAGAGGTTTGCATAGTTGCATAATATCCCTTCAATAAACTAATATCTTTTCTCTCGTTTACTGGTTTAGATCTTGTTTAATTCTGGGTTAGTTCTGGTTTAGTCCTAGTTTAAAGACTCTAGATGTGTAGATTTTATTTTTCCAAACAAAAACAGTCATGATTATTAACGGTTATTATTTTAAACAAATCTAAATATTTTGTGTGTGACCCCAAATTGTGTTTTAACAACTGCCACTCTTGTTACTATTATTACTACTACTACTACTACTACTACTACTACTACTACTACTACTACCACTACTACTACTACTACTACACCACTACCACTACTACTACTACACCACTACCACTACTACACTACCACTACCACTACCACTACTACTACTACTACTACTACTACTACTACTACTACTACTACTACTACTACTACTACTACTACTACTCCTACACCTACTACTACTACTACTACTACTACACCTACTACTACTACTACTACTACTACTACTACTACTACTACTACTACTACTACTACTACTACTACTACTACTACTACTACTACTACTACTACTACTACTACTACTACTACTACTACTACTACTACTACTACTACTACTACTACTACTACTACTACTACTACTACTACTACTACTACTACTACTACTACTACTACTACTACTACTACTACTACTACTTTTTAATGAATTTTATAGAGTAATTTGTGTTCTATGTATCCTGTTAGTTCTTTCTTTTCTTTTTTTTTTTTTAAACTAAATTTAATACTACTAATACTACTACTCTTCCTATTATTATTACTACCACTACTACTATTACTACTACTACTCTTTAATGAATTTTAATAATGTATCCTGTTCTTTCTTTTTTTTTAACAAAAAATATTACTACTATTGCTACTACTATTACTACTACCATTACTACCATTACTACTACTACTACGACTGTACTTCTGCTACTACTCTTTAATTAATTTTACAAAGTCATTTCTGTTCTGTGTATCCAGTTTGTTCTTTCTTTTTTTTTTTTTTTTTTTAACAAAATTCCTACTACTATTCCTACTACTATTCCTACTACTACTATTCCTACTACTACTTCTACTCTTTAATGAATTTTAATAATGTGCTCTATGTATCCTGTTCTTTCTTTTTTTTTTACTACTATTCCTACTACTATTGCTACTACTACTCCTACTACTATTGCTACTACTACTCCTACTACTCCTACTACTCCTACTCTTTAATGAATTTTAATAATGTGTTCTATGTATCCTGTTCTTTCTTTCTTTCTTTTTATTACTAGTACTACTACTACTACTGCTACTACTATTACTATTACTATTACTACTACCACTACTACTATTACTACTACAATACTACTTCTACTACTCTTTTTTAATTTTATAGAATCATTGTATCCTGTTCTTTCTTTGTCTTTAACTATGGGCTGAATAATATTTATGTCTGAAATAAAGTAAAAGTAAAGTACTACTACAACAACTGCTATAATATATTACTACAACTAAAACTAACTACTACTACACCTGCTACAACTATTACAAAATTGTTTAGTGTAATACTGTTCAATTAATGCCACCACAACTATTACAGCATTGTTCCTTATAATACTTAACTTTTTTAGTACTACTACAACTACTACTACAGCTACTACATTACTAAAAATCTAAATATTTTGTAGAATATTGTTTTAATATTTTGTGTAAGAAAATTAGAGTTGAAAAGCCCTTCTCTAGTATCTGTTTGCATGTAAATGTGAGTTCGGTCCTCGTGTAATTCTACTCTCACCCCACAGGTCGGCGCTGTCCTCTTTCGTTGCTGTGCTGAAGGTTTTGGGCCCTGGAGACACGGTGGACATGCTGCGCTTTGTGCCTTCATCGGCGTCATCATCGTCCACATTGTTTTCAGTTTCATCAATTTCATCTACAAAAAAACACGATCACAGTTACTCTTCAAAACTAATGACGAAAAACGAACGTCGCCTTTCAGACCAACACGCATCAGAAGCCGTAAAACCAAAAAGCAATGTCGAAATGGAGAGACGGACTAGATATTGTGACAAAATTCTGCTTAAGTTATGCCCAATTTACACAAAAAATTTTGTGTAAAATTTTTCTGACACTTTACACATTATTTGAACAAAATAAAGGTGTTTTCTGATCAATTTATTTGTCAATTATTAATTTTTGTGTACGCTTGAGGAGTTTTGCTCGTTACATTTTTGCTCGGTCATTTCCTAGTTTGATGTCAAGTTCAAACAGGGAAAAAAATGCAAACACCTTTAGTTAAATCTTAAATATAATGATCTTAAAGGTGCACTACGTAACATTTCTAGTGGGAGGGTTCACCTGTTTGTCTGCAAGAAAATGTTATTGCTTTATCGAGGAATATAGATTAAACTCATCTACTGTAAAACATATTACAATACAAAAAAAAAAAAAAGGAAAGAAACTGAGTTCAAGTAAAAAATTAAGTATGCATAATATGTAATTCATTTTGCTATTTGTAAATATTTGTAAAGTTTCGTGATCAATGTACAGAAGCAACAACATAATTTTTTAAACTATGTCATGAATAGTGGTGGGTTCAGATAAGTTTTTCTTCTTCCCACTCCTTTTCGTGAAATGTGCTTTTCTGTTGTTTACAATGTACTGTATTTTTTGGATTATAAGGCGCATTAAGTGAAACAAAAAGACAACACTTGAGACTGATCCTTAGCCCAGGCGTCCACGATCCATTGGAAAATCGTGGGGTAACTCACTTTACCTCCCTGTCTTGGTGAATGTGTATTATGAATGTGAATGTGGGTGGATCATTTAAATTTTGTTTTTTTTATTTCCTACAAGGACGACTCAAATATACATTGAGTAATAATGTGTTTAACGCAGCTTTGCGCACATTTGTTTACATTTTACAGAAATGAAACGTAAATCCACATGGTTCATTTGCATAAACTATAAGCGCTGAAAAATTACTCCACAAGGCTCCTGACTTCTGTAGCTGTAATGCTCCGACAATTCATCAAGCGGTGCGGCTTCGTAGATTACCAAAGTTGTACTAAAACGTTTTGACAGATTTTTAAGCGCCGTGTACCACATAAAATCAGTTTAAGCACAACCAGAATTAATACATAAGGCGCATTGTCGATTTTTGAGAAAATTAAAGGATTTTAAGTGCGCTTTATACTCCGAAAAATACGGTATATGTAGTTATGTATATGATTATTGTTTCTCTCTTGGCGCAAACTTGAAATATAAACGAATCAATCAATCACTACCCTACATTACAGTTCAGATCTGTGGAGAGTCATTCCTGTTCACGGAAGGATTTACTGTATTTTTGGGCAAAAGAAACAACTGTAATGAATAAATGCTTAATGGATATGCTTAAAGTCATACCATGGAACATTCCAGGCAAAGCAATAACATTTCCAAGGAGGCAAGCAGGTGACAGACCCCCCACAAGTTTCACAGTGCACCTTTAAATGTGCTTTAGTAAAATTAGGAGTCAAACTTGTCATAGGCACTTTCAGTAATAAAATCTAAATAAATTACCAAACGTGCCCAAGTCGAATGTTTTGTTTGCACAATATCCAAAACACATTTCGTTACAACCAAATGCTTCTGATCCATGAAAACGACAAGAGTCACAGTCACTAAAATGAGCAATTACAGTGAATTAAAGAAGCTTCATTAATCACAAAATCACACTGATGATACATAAATATAAATATAGACTATGTACAGCGTCACAAATCTGAACTGTACCAAATGTTCAGATGGCACCAACATCACATGCAGTAGCCATAGACTGTATATATATAAATGGACACAGCTAACCCACTTGCTACCAAATAGGAAGTGAGTATGGGGGCACTTCTGGCTCCATTGGCTCTGGCTCCAATTCACTTTCTATTGAAAAACCGTCGCCTCTCTCTTGTTTTTGCTGTGATGTATGACTCGGTCTGCAATGAACTAGCCCGAGTTTGTGTTTCGGAACTCTGATTTGATTGGCCGCTCCATTGCACTTTCTTGAGGTGGAGGTCGGTTTTCCCTTTCCTTTCACTTCATGGAAACCGTCTTGACCTCGCAGCATTAGGATTTGTTCGCTCGACGGTAGGTAGATACTTTTTTAATTTAACCAATCGCTGCTATTTCTTTGTCACGTATGTAATGCTCATTGGGTAATTTCCAGCAAAACAGCAAACAAAGCAGAGAGTGAAAATCCTCGATCTCGGGAATCGCTGCTAACACAGAATGTCTGTCTTCATCTACATCCATCTCGACCGCTTTGTTTACTGTTGTGCTGTACCGCAAAAAGGACACAGACAGGCGCTTGAGTTTGACGTCATGGCTTCACAGCTCTTCACCGATTGGCCGGTGCACGGTCAACAACTTCTGGGGTTCTTGCAAACCGTCTAATGTATTTCGATTCCTGACCTAGTCACTGGAGAGAAATGAAATTGAGCGGAGGCACTAGGTGGCGCCAGTCTGACTAGGGGAAAATATGGATGCCTGAGAAAGTTTAATGTCTATTTTGTTAACTTGTGAGTCCCAGAGGGAAACCGTATCATCGTACATAAACTACTCCAGGACTAAGACTGAACAGAGACGGCGCATGATGGAAGTATAATCTTGTTCATTCAAGTATCATGTAACTTAGGCTATCACATAACTCGAAATTTTTGGTAACGTTAGCTGAAGTGGCTATTGAACTGAATATATAATTGTAACATTATATAGGCTGTGTGTATTACTGTGTGCGCTGCCACATTTGCTGTGACGTAAATCCAATCAACTCGGTCCGCACCAAACTAGCCAAGTTTGTGTTTCAGAACCCCGATTTGATTAGCTGCTCTGTTGCACTTTTTCTGTGTGGAGGTCGGTTTTCCCCTGGGTCCTGAACAGAATAGAATGCACCTTAACCTATAACTTCCTCGATGAGCTTCATTTGACTGGAGCTGAACGCTATAGTCCACTTCTTTATACAGTCTATGGCAGTAACCCACAGTAGCAACATGGACGTCTCTGAGGGTTTAAGGTATAAGGATTTTCCAAGGAACAGAAATATAATGTTGCGCATGAATGAAGAAACGCCTATTATCACATGATTTATTATTGCTGACAGCGGGTATTTCGTTCATTTCCAAAGTGACAACAAAGGAGTAGGACAAAACAGATTCAACTAGCTACAACCGCAGCAGCAAGCTTAAAATTACCAGACATAGCTAAATAAAAGCGTCAAAAAGCAGTTACAGCATCTTTAGACCTTCAGTTCTGGAGTCAAAGATCAAGAGTCATATGCTTGGAATTGCAATTTGTGCTAACAGTAAGCATTGTGGATAAACAGCGTTGTGCGTCTTGCGTCTGTGGAGCGTGATACGTAAACCAGTACGGCGGCGCGCAGGAGGTCAGTTACGCTAGAAACGTAGGGAGTTTGATTGATAGCCTGTCAGCTAACAGATAACGAGGCCGTGTCGTTTATCTATTGGCAAATGTTTAGCTGGCAACGTAGAGTTGATGAATTTTATTCTCTTTTTTTGGTCATATAATTACAAGGCTACTGCAGCTATCATTGAAACTTGAAAACAAAAAAAAAAAAAAAATTCCATACAACCTTTAAGTATATGAATGAATATTATCACATATTTACATTATTGCTGACTATTTCCAAAGCGCACCAAGCACAACCAAACAAAACCAGACACTTATTAAACTGCCTAAATAGAAAGCAGTCGGCATCTGGGGTTTTCTTAGTGAGTCATTGATTTTATAATGACAGTAATATAATTCAGACAGTACAAATTGTGCAATAAAAAATATTATTATTATTAGTAGTAGTGATAAAAACGTTTGCTATTAAGGTCTAAAAAAAGGTCTACAGTTATCTTTAGCTTGTTGAATGGCTTCAAAGGGGCTGTAAGCAAATTTTTTCAGGCAAGGAAGTAAAATTACATTATAAAAGAAGCTAGTTTTTGTTAGCAGTGGCATGATGGAAAAGCACTTTTAGGCCCCATCCACACTAGTACGTATTCGAGTCATTTTCGTTGAGAATGCAGTGTGAGTCCACATTAACCTGATGGAACGATCTGGTGCCTCCAGCTCCCACGAATTAATGGTCACATTTTACTATAGCGCTTTACCTTCAAGGCACTCAAAGCGCTTTTACAACAAGGAACCACTCACCCATTCACACACACATTCACACACCAGTGTACGCAGACACTGTGGGCAAGGTGGGTTAAGTGTCTTGCCCAAGGACACAACGGCAGCATTCATCTGTGGGAGCTGGAATCACACCAGCCAACCTGTGGGTCAGTGGATCTGACCGCTCAACCTGTGATGTTTATGTCGAGAGCTGGATTTGAACTGCCAACCTTCAGATCAGTGGGCGAATGCTCTACCAACTGAGGAATAACTTTGGACCACTGCAAACTCGAACATTTTTAAGTCGGTAAAAAGTGTACAAAGTCGAGGTGTGCTTTGAAAATCGTCAGCATAATTTTATAACCTGCTTATAAAATGAAAATGTTACACAGATGATCCACAACTGTATGCACTGGTCACACTGCGAGGGTGATCGGCGGCGGTGTGACAAAAACTCAATAATTCAAAACTCACTCAATTCATTAATCGGGAGAAAAGTCCCACACGGCCAGAAGATACAAGAAACATTTCAGAAAATCAAGCGTTAATTTCAGTAAAAGTAAAAGTGTTGCTGCAGCGACAGAGAAACCAAAGTAGACAGAGAAAGTAGCAGCGACGCACAGACATAAAACGAAACTGAAAAAAGAGATTTAATTATTCACTAGTTTGCCGAGTTATCTATTAATTATTATTATTGTTAGGGCCCATTTTACGCTATTTTCTAAACCATGTTATGATGTTTTTTCCTCTTCAGAAACAGACCTGGAGTTGTGTTTT